CTCGCTCGGTCCAGGGATACGCTTTTCCTCAGAGCCCTGGCCATGGGGAGGTGGCTGTGGTCTGGCCACCCGAGCACACGCTGGGCTTGAAAGGCTGAGCAGGGCTGTGATTCCTCATCTGAGTTCAGCCTTTGGGAAGGACCGACAGCACGTACAGAACGTCCACCGCGCGTAGCTTCTGTCCTCCCAGTTCATGGTGGGACCCGGTGCTGGCAGTGCCCCACACATCCTCCTTATCCCTTCCAGGAGGTGGCCGGCAGAAGGTTCTATGTCTCTTCTTGAACACTGGAGCATGCTCGACCCAGGCACGAGAAAGGCTGGGAGTTCACATCCCACGAGCAACGCTCAACCTGATAAAGGAGCTGGTGGAGGGCACTCTGGCCTCTTCGCTCCTGAGGGGGATGGAGCTTGGTGGCCCACAGCGGTCGCCCACACATGAACACGCCCTTTCTCGGCTTCTTCCCTTTTCTGCCTTCCACCCCCCTGTCCTCACCCTCCTTCCTGGGGTCCCCCTCCCAAGCAAACTAATCAACCAAAACCCTTGTCTCAGGGCCTGCTTTTAGGGGAGCCCAGCTACTGGACTTGGATGCCTGCCAGATGACAACAGGATCCCCTTCCTGGTGTTGAGTGTGGAGGTGACGGACGCAGGTGTGCTGCTGGGCCAGCGACCAAACTCCAGCCTGGGAATGACTGGGGTGATTAGAGCAGCAGGCTCTGGTCAACCAGCTGTCACCACAGGAGAGGCTGCAACAATCAGAATGCCCTAGGGCACACTGAAGAGACCCGCATCTCCTCTATGAGGAAAATCCAAGATGGGGTCATCAGTGGTCTGATCCCGAAGTGGACCAAGTTCGCAGGCCTGTCAAGTCTGGTTAGGAAGGGCGGGACTCCGAGATGGGAGGTGGGCCCATCTGGGCAGATGCCCTCAAGGGCCTCCATACCCCAGACCCCCCTGAATACTTGGGTCTAGCAGGTGGCTCATGCCTGGGCTACAGAGCAGCCCCCCGCCCCCCACCTGGAAATCACATTTAGCCTCTCTTGGCAGAGAAGACTAGTGAGAGTGCCTCTGTCCTCCCCAAGACCTGCCCCCACTTGTGCTCATTCCTCCTACATCGGGCAACGGGGACGAGGACCAGCATGGCCCATGTAAAAAGAAACACTGTCCTGCTTGGAAAGGAACCCAATTATTGGCTTCCTTTCCAAGGAGGAAAGGGCTGAAGAAGCACGCTCACATGGGCTGGCAGGAGCTGGAAGAGTGTGCGTGGGCACAGGGGGTCTGGAGGGTGCTGGCCCCATGGTGGCAGAACAGAAGCTGGCTAAGGACAGTTTATGGATACGTGGGTTCTCCTCTGTGACCCGGGATTTGGCACCTTGGCAAGGACATGCAAGGCCAGTCCTAACACACTGCTGCGATGCCCCTCCCAGGAGGTCGGAGACCAGGGCGTACCAAGGACTGGGCCGGAAGGCTCGGAGGGAGGGCCTGGGGGGTGGGTGCCTGGCAGGAGAGCCAGCCCACGGGCAGCCAGCCGTCCCCTCGCTGAATCAAGGAGGGAGGCCACACTACTGCTAATGAGCAGCCCGCTGGGGGCCGCTGGGGGGCTGTCCTCTGTGGGCCACGGCACACAGTAGGGGTGCTGCTACACCGCCGAGCTCCCCGGGACTTCGGATTCTCCCGACCGAAGGATTCCAGAACAAGAGTCTGTGGGCAGCACGTGGCCCCTCCTCAGTTCTCTGCAAGGCAGTGAGGGGACTGCCACCTCGGTGTTGGCACACTGTACCCACCTCACGTCCTCTCGGTACTTGGAAAATATTATGAAGCATTTTCAAATTCTAATTTGGCTTTATTTAATATCAGTGTCTTTTTAAAAAATCTGTAAAATACTCCAAGTTTTTTTCTGTGTGGTATTAAAAATTGTTGTTTAAATAATATTATCGAGGGGCACCTGGGTGGCTCGGTCTGTTAAGCGGCTGCCTTTGGCTCAGGTCATGATCTCGAAGTCCTAGGGTCGAGTCCTGCATCAGGCTCTTGGCTCAGCGGAGAGTCTGCTTCTTCCTTGCCCTCTGACCCTCCCCCCCCCTCCACTCGTGCTCTCTCACTTTCTCTCAAATAAATAAATAACATCTTTTAAAAAACAGTATTGCCTAAATACTACTATTCTGTCTTTATTTATTTATTTTTTTAAAGACTTTATTTATTTATTTGGCAGACAGAGATCACAAGTGGGCAGAGAGGCAGGCAGAGAGAGAGGGGGAAGCAGGCTCCCTGCTGAGCAGAGAGCGCGATGCGGGGCTCGATCCCAGGACTCTGAGATCATGACCTGAGCTAAAGGCAAAGGCTTAACCCACTGAGCCACCCAGGTGCCCCTTCTGTCTTTATTTTTAAAAGACTTGCTTACATGAGAGGAATCAGGTCTTGAACTTCTGATGGCAAAACTTCAGTATATAATAAGCATTTACACATAAGCCACGGAAATTGTTCACGCCCAATGTGTGCAATCCACTCTATCCAAGAGCACCTAGCATGTCAAAGTGTACGCATCTCCACCGACTGTTCCATTCATCAGAACAGAAGTGATAGCAAAGGTTTTATGAAACAGAATTACATTCCATTCAATGTAGAGCAATATTTCCCCAACAGCCTTATAAGACGTAAGTGGGTGATCACGAGACAGTTAACAGAGACTCAGAATGAACCACATAATGGGGAAAAAAATGAATGCTTAGATGTTGAACAGAAAAAATTAGTAACAAAAACCCTTTATACTTATTTTTGTCGACAAAAGGTCTGAGTCAAAGCACAGCAGGAGCCTTGAATTTTTAAGTTCGACCAAAGTTGCATCACGACAGCCAGGAATGTACTGTCTAGACGGCTTAGTGCCCCGGAGGGTTAATCACGGCTTCAGCCAATGCTCTTAGGAGCCCAAAATATACAGACTGGAGGGGCTTGCTTGCTTAGTCAAGTGTGATAAATCTTAAAACTAGGTAAGTGTGCAAAAAATAAATATTTAAAACTTCGTTTTGTGCAAATATAGACTTATCTTTTCATTCCAAAAGAATGCCCAGCCCGATGCTGGGCAAAAGCCGAGCACAAGGTATTTAGATGCAACAGAATCATGGTGTTCATTTATGTCAAAGAATGTCCTATATATCTTCCCATGGAGCACAGTTAGGATTTAAGGTTTCAGAATTACTTTTGAATTTATGATTGAACAGGAACACACCATACAGAATATTTCAAAGTTGCTACCAAAAAACAAGCTGAAGTTCTCCTTAGCAATATGGCTTTCTCAACACCTCTTCCGCCCCCGTGGGCATCACATGAGAAGATGCAGGGAGGGAATGATCAAATGGTCTCTGATGGCTCTTCTAGCATGTTCTGTTTCTGAATTATATAGAATATCCTGGTCCTTAAGGAATGGGATAGATCTTTGGAGAGAGCATCAACTTGGGGCTAAAGAACTAGGCAGGTAAAAGCTCTAGAAGGAAGAGAGATTCACAAGTGACCTGAACGGTGAGAGGCAGGTGGGGAGAGATTATGGGATAGATGCTGGCCTGTTGGATTTTTCCCTCCCTTCTCTGATTCATTCATATTTTTAAGATTGCCTTCTGTGTCCTTTTCAGGGGGAGCCTTATCATCTGATCGGTGAACCCTTCTTGGTGAGTAAAATCTTCATTTGTGCAAGTGGGATGACCTCTCAGCAGACAGCACTCCCTTAGGGTGTGACACTCTGCTTCTGGAAATGCAAACAGTTACTTTCTAAATGTGACAGAAGTCAGTCCTTTCTTTCTGATGCATTACTGCTTTGTGTACCTTATTTTATTTACCTTTATGGCAAATCGCTGCATTACATGACTGCAGAGATTGAGACCTCATTTTTAATGATTTATCCAAAATCACTCCAGAAAAAAAGCAGAACCGATGGAAACAGAATCAGAACCCCTTGAAAATGCAGTTACTCTAGATGCATACAAATAAACGAACAATCATCAGAAGTTGAATCTTAGGTCTGCTAACTGGTTTTATGTGGGATGTAAGTCATAATTTAAGAGAATATTCTGGACAACTGAGGTATAAAGATTATATTTATTCTGAGTCTAGAGACTTTCTCAACTGTAGAAGTATGGATGGACCTGACTTCAGCGATCCAGATTCATGACTAGGTGGGGTTGCAAAAAATGTCTGCATGTGGGGGGGGGGGGCACCTGGGTGGCCCAGTGCGTTAAAGCCTCTGCCTTTGGCTCAGGTCACGATCCCAGGGTCCTGAGACGAGCCCCGCATCGGGTTCTCTGCTTAGCAGGGAGCCTGCTTCCTCCTCTCTCTCTCTCTGCCTGCCTCTCTGCCTGCTTGTGATCTCTGTCTGTCAAATAAATAAATAAAATCTTAAAAAAAAAAAATGTCTGCTTGTCCTCGGATAATTACAGCGTTTAGCTAGAGAGACTGAAGTTAATCAGATCCTCATGTTTGCTATTAATTTTCCTTATAATTGATAAAAATGCCACCTATAAAAGTTAGTAGGCACATTTTCAGTGCATTCGCATTTTAAAATGAAATAGAGAAAATGAACTTGATTTTGAAAAATCAGGTTTATTTGTAGTAACTCTGATAACTGTTTGTACTTTTGCTCTGGGGAATGCACAAGAATAGACAACGCTGCTCTAACATTTATTGAAATGGGTGCTTTTCATACTAATGCAAACGGCTAAGACTCTTGTTCCTACTCTAACCGTCTTTTATTGACTAATAAAGAATTCTCACTGCATCGGAAGGCAGGCTCAGGAGCGCTCAGAGGGCTCTGGGAGGACCGGCCAGAGTCAGTCAGTAGGTTCCCCTCTTCTCAATTAGGCAACTGGAACGGGAAGTCTCGTTCTGAATATTAGAAGCCAAGTCTATATATTAGAAAAATAAAGAGAGGGAATATAACAAACTGCTTCAAAATACATGCCTGAGGGGTGAAACGGCTTGTGCTTTCACGTGCTGGTGGCTTCCAGGAGAAATCTTCTTAATCTTCAGGTTCGTACCTGCAAAGAGATGAAAATTCTGTTAAGACCATAAATAATGACATGATACTCTTTGTTGCTGTCATCGCTCCCCAGTGAGTTGACCCGCCAGCTCTCCAGCGACAACCCCAGTCACAGTGCGTTTTTCACTTAGAATCACTACAGGGTGCAGTCAGAGACCACCACGGCACTGTGCGGGGGCCCCCCAGCAGGGACGAAAGACCAGGGAAGTGCGAGGCCACCTTCGGACTCCGAGTCTCTGGAGCTGGCATTTAGACCCACGACAGCTGAGGACAGCAGAGACTCCATAATGATCTGAGTTGTTGGACGGTCACAAGGTGCTGATGGGGTGACGCGAGGACAAGGTTAACAGACCCCCCCTCTCTACAGATGAAGTGCATCTGGGATTTACTTCCTCACTCTGTCCCCGCGGGAGCCCTGATTAAGGTAAGAGGGCCGCGGAGTTTCCAGAGCAAACTGTGGAGGACAGACATGAGCCCGAGGAGCGGCGCACACGTGGGCCGGGAGGACTGGGGTTGAGCTGTGACTGTGTGGCGGGTATGCGGCCGCAGGGTCCCCGCTCTGGGCGCTGAGCTCTGGTAATGGCACACATCCCTCCCCGTCCCAGGGCAGCGCAAGGCTAGGGACCCAGTGCTCCGTGGCGCATGGGGCTCTAAGCCAGGCTGGCAAGGGCACCCACTTGCAGGGACCACATTCTCTAGCACCTGAACTGTCGTTGAGGGCGGGCACAGGACGACCAGGCCTTAGGCTCTTGAGGACATTCCCAAGGAGAAATGAGAAATGCCCAAGGATGCCTTGGAAGCTTGCTGGGTTTCCTTTCTGCTGTCCTGCTTAAAGGAATGCATTGCCAAGGGTAGCCTGGTGTAGACGTGTGTGTGTGTGTGTGTGTGCACCTGGGCGTGTGCGTGTAGGTCTAAGGTCCCAAGGAACCTATACCGAAGCCCTCAAGGGAAGTGCAGATGGCCTGGCCAGACCTCCTCCATGTTCCTCAAATGCAGCCTTCTAGACTAGAGGACACCAAGCACCCCAGGCCTGGCCTCTCTGGACAAAAACTGAGATTTAGTGACGAACACACAGCGATCTGGCGGTGAGACAAAACCAAGAGCCACACGGGATCAGCAAGGCTTACTTGGCCAGTCTTCGCCTCAGGTCTTTGATTTGGTCATTCTTCTTGGTGAGAATCTCTTTCATGTTTCGGTAAGCTGCTGTTTGTTGGAATTTCTTCTCTAATTCCTGCACAGTGAAAAAAGTCGGTCCATTACTACGAAACGGAGACAGAGAGAAATAACACATCTCATAAACATGTATACTTTTGCTCTAATTTTACTAATACTTTTATATTATTTTTGAATTTCTTTTTAGAATATACTTACATAAAATTAAGACTGCAAATTTTAAAAATACATTCCTCCCAAGAAAACAGCAACATTGTCAGCATGTAACTAAGGACAATGAGAAATCTGTTTGAAACAGTAAACTAATTCTCAGGTGAAATACGCATGATCTTTCCCCAGAATCCCAACATGGTATCAGTATTCTAGGAGGAGGATTTTTAGTTCAGTTACATTTTAGCTCCCAAATGCTTAAGAGTCTCATCCCTAAATTGAAGAACACGGTTCTCTACATATTTCATAGAAATTAAAAACAAGGGGTAGAATCCTTTCAAGAGAAGTCAGCCATCCCTGTGCTGGGCTGTAGGGGGCCAGGCAACATGGGGGTGCAGGGCCGCTCACATAAGCTATCCATGGCCGAGTCTCTGACCATTCCAAAGGAAGGAGTGACAATTTTCTATTATCATAGATATCTTAGTGCCAAACACAGAAGGATCTCAATGCCCAGAAATGATAATTCTCGAACACGTATTGGCCAATACCCTGAGAAAAGTTAAGGAAAATCTATGGCTGGCCTCCAGCTTGGGTCCCTCGGTGACCCCTGTTCCTCAGCGAGGTAGACACACGCAGACAAACCTGACCTTTTCAGCCATGCTCAGCTGCTCCTGAACCCTGAGTAGGTCGTGCTTGGCGGTCGCCAGATTCTCCTCCAGGGACTTCTGGTTTTCTGTCTTGTCGTTAAGCGTCTTCTGAAACTCACTCTTCAAAGCAGCTACTGTGTTCTCCAAGTCATTCAAGTCTTGGGCTTTTATAAAATCCTAGGAAAGATATACGCACTGACATAATTTCATGTTGACATCCCAGTTGGTGACTGTTGTACAACAGTGATTTGGTGTTGTGATAGGAATGTTGTGTGTGTGCACATAGGCCCCCAGACTCCCCGGCCCCCCACCAGCCTGGGTAAGCTCCTGCTCCTAGAGGGTCGCTGGTGTGCCCAGCTCACCCTCGACCCCCGTGAACCTGGCGGACACTCAGTGGTCACTCAACTCCAGACATGTAAAATATCATTTACAAATTGCTGGAATTCCAAAGAGGAACAGGAGAGAGGTGCAATCTTAAATCTAACAATGTTGTGTGTCCCCGGGTATGGATGGCAAACATGTTTCGTTTTTGAAAAGTCAGGTTAAAAAAAAAAATCCTGGTGAAGAATTTTGAATGATACAGATGGAAAAATAATAAACTTACAGAGTTTATATAAAAAATTTAATAAATCTATGTCTTAGTCAATATTTACATTAAAATATAAGAGCCTAGTGAAGTGTGTAAACCTGGCGATTCACAGACCTGTACCCCTGGGGAAAAAAATATATGTTTATAAAAAATAAAATTAAAAAAAAAAAATCATACACTCCAAAGTCAGCATGTAATTAAATCGATTTTTATAAAATCAAAAAAATTAATATATATACAAATATGGTAAATACAAAAAGAAAAAAAAATATGAGAGCCTAATCAATGCTTACTGATTATATGACTTGCTAAATTTATAAGATCTTAAGGTATTTTTTTTTGTATTAATGTGACAGGCATGTTTGTACACTCTGTCAGCTGGATCTTGTCTATGACTAGATAAATTTGTAATAGAAAAAAGTTGCATTACTCAACAGGAAAATGGTCTCTAATTGCTAAACGTGAAGGAGAAGCAGTATTACCAACAAAATTCCTCACTCATTTTTGAAATCTGGTCTTTGAAAAAGATTTTACTTCATCACAGCTAGTGAAAGCATGTACACATTTTGCTTTTGCTAAAGTCTGAAAAGTAAAATTGGGAGAAAGTCCAAAATGGCTTTAAAAACAAGTTCATTATCTAAAAATGTTTGCAACAGTTTTACTTTTGAGAAATTAGAAAGCCATTCTGAAGTATGTAGCTCTGTGTTTTATAAATCTATGGTCCTTTAAATAGCATTGAAAACCATATTTATTTTCCTTTTTTTTTTTAGTCATCTAAGAATTATCTTCCTATTTTTATTTTTTTTTTAATATTCCGATTTTAAAAATATCTTCAGACGAAATGATGTAATGTCTGAGATCTGCTTCAAAAAAACACGGTGGGAGGGGAGAAGAAGAGGTAAATGGGGAACCAGACTGGCCAAGCCCTGGTGATCAGTAAAGCCAAGTGAAAAGTACCCGGGGTGTATTGTCCTAGTCCCCCTACTGTTCTGTGTGTTCGAATTTTTCCATAAAAAAGTGTAACAAGAGGGATGCCTGGCTGGCTCCGTCGGTTAAGCCTCTGCCTTCGGCTCAGGTCATGATCTCAGGGTCCTGGGATCGAGCCCCACGCAGGGTCCCAGCTCAGTAAGGAGTCTGCTTCTTCCTCTCCTGCTGCTCCTCCCCCAATTTGTGCTCACTTGGCTCTCTGACAACTAAATAAAATCTTAAAAAAATAAAAAAAACTGTTAACAATAGAAGTCTAGCAACGTAAGTCTGGGGAGTGTTTAGCAGACACTGGCAAGGATAGTACAACCACGGGAAAAGCCAGAGCCACCCTGCAAAGCCACTTACGTGGCCTGGGGACAGGAAGTCTGTTCCAACATCTGGGGCAGACGGGAAGGCCACGGGAGACAGAGCTTTGTGAGAACTTCCAACAGCAGGAGAGAGCCTCACTGACCCACCGAGACAGGCCTGGAGACCCAGGCCTGTGTTTCAGCGTATCACACGAGCCCCGCCAGACATGGGGGATGTGAAGACGCAGACCCCGTAAATTCATTCTCTTTTGTCATACTCACCGAAGGCCGACTTCACTAATAATGAGTTCTGTATAATAAAACCAAATACACATCCAATGAACTAAAAAGTCTTTCTTTCTTCACTTCCTTTTCCCCCATTGTAAGTGCAATGTCACGGTAAAAGGGGGAGGAACTTAAAACAAAACAAAACAACTTCAGCATATCTGTGTGCTAGGGGGCTCTGGGGACATGGGGAACATGTGAACTGTGTCCCTGCCTCGGCGATGCCCCTCACCCCAGCCTTTCCTGGATGGGGGTGTCCCGAGGCAGGACAACAGTGGCACCCTTCTCAGGGAGTGGAAGGGAAGGGCCATAACAAACAGTAACTAAGACTTCTTCTTTTTAAGTAGCTCCATGCCCTTGTGGAACCCACTGTGCAGCCCAAGGCAAGGCTTGAACTCATGACCCTGAGATCCAGACCTGAGCGAGATCAAGAGTCGGTTGCCCAACTGAGCCACCCAGGCACCCCTCAACATTTCATATTAAGTTTGTAACTTTATTCTACTTGAAAAATGTGAAAAAGAAAGCTAAAAGTTATTACACCTTTTTTAAAAAAATTAAAGTATAATTGATACGCAATGCCCTATCATTTTCAGGTGACCAACACAGTGACAGGATTTCTGTGCCGTACACAGGGACCCCCATGATTGGCACAGTGACCCACTGTCACAAAGCTATTACAGTATTACTGCCTACCTTCAAAACTTCTCTCACCTTTTGATTTCCCTGGTCGAGCTGTAAATCCTGCAGTGCTCTTTCTAGCTTTGACTTCTCATCAAAAGCATGGGTTGCCTATAGTCAGATTTAAACAACACATATTCAATATTCAGTCCGTAGGCAATGCTTCCAATATTTTTGTCAAAGTACTTCTCAGTTACCTGCATTTCAATGGTCTTCAGCCTTGACTTCAATTTCTCATTCTCTTCTTGAAGTCTGGAAATTTCCTTTGTGAGTAAATTCAGGTTTATTATTATTTTTTAAGATTTTATTTATTTATTTGACAGACAGAGATCACAAGTAGGCAGAGAGGCAGGCAGAGAGAGAGGAAGGGAAGCAGGCTCCCTGCTGAGCAGAGAGCCTGATGTGGGGCTTGATCCCAGGACCCTAGGATCATGACCCGAGCCGAAGGCAGAGACTTTAACCCACTGAGCCACCCAGGCGCCCCAATTCAGGTTTATTATTTTAACTGTGGTATTTTTAATACTTGAAAGTGTTTCACCTCAAAATTGAATTGCAAAATTTAAGTTTGTTTGTTTGTTTATTTGGCAGAGAGAGAGAGAGAGAGAGAGATAACAAGTAGGCAGAGAGGCAGGCAGAGGCAGAGGCAGAGGGAGAAGCAGTCTCCCTGTTGAGCAGAGAGCCCAATGTGGGGCTCGATCACAGGACACTGCGATCATGACCTGAGCCGAAGGCAGCCATTTAACTGACTGAGGCACCCAGGAGCCCCCAAAATTAAGTTGAAATTATAGAACAGCTTGAACACCTGTGTGTTCTGGTTGCTGGTGCGATTCTCGTCCCACCCAGCCCACTGGTCTCCACACTGGTGCGTCACTTGCGGCTCTAAGGCTCTTCCCCGGTCTCTCAGGCTCCCTTCAGGCCTCTGTCCTCAGCCCTCTTGTCCCACCTCTCACTCAGCTGATCCTGCCACTCTTGGGTCTTTTCCTAGCTGACACAGCACGCCACAGGTACTTATCCTAAAACACAGCTTCTATCAGTGCCACACTCTGCCCAAGACCCTAGATGCTTCCTCCTGACCTGAGGCCACAGGCCTTTGCTCCAAGCAGCTCCATCACGAGAGTCAGCTGTGAGCCCAGTCCTCTGCCTCCCTGAGCTCCAACACACACATCGGCCCTATCAGAGAGCACGGACTCTGTGCCAAGTCAGAGCACTCTTCTTTCTGCCTCTCACAGCTGCCCACACCACTGCCCTGTCTGCCATGCTCCCGTTCTTCCCTCTGACAATTTCATCCGTCTTCAGCCTTCAGCCCAGCTCAGGGACCACCTCCCCCCAAAGTCTGTCCTCTACTGCTCATATCTTCGTGAAGTGTTTCTTCTAGCCACCCTGGGCACACGGGTAGCAATCCCGCTTCCAAAATATTAATTCTCCCTGCTCAATGAAACGATAAGGTTTTTGAGGACAAAAGACTCAGTATTATACTGCTTTTTATCTAATAACATATAGCACAATGTTGAGAATACAGGAGCCGTGACAAATACTTGTATATTGGTAGTTAACTTTTATAAACCTCCTAATTCAAAACCCCATCCTTGCTATTGTAGATCATAAACTTCAAATGTCCATTAATAAAACACTGTCCAAAATGCCATGCCCTTCGTGTCACCACAAAACGATGAAATTAAGAGCTGCTTCAGACTTCCTGGAAGGTGAGTGCCCTCTTCTGGCCCATGGCACCACGAAGCAGAACGACTACAGTGGACTGATTACCCTCAGTGGACCGCGCCCGAATCCGCCACCTCCTCCCTCAGTTTCTCCACCCTCCAGTTGTGCAGGCCATGAGAGGGCTGAGGGAGAGGGTCTGGCTTTCTTGCCACGAGGACATTACCTTGTTCAGGAGTTCCGTGCTTCCGCCCTCATTAAGTGGAGCGAGTTTGGGCTTCATGGTCTCTACGATGGGCTGACACAAAATATAGAAACCAAACCAAAATCACATGTAATCACTCAACACTTGAACATTCTAAGCGAAAAACACTGTAAAAACATATCCATGGGGTTGCCAACTCCACAGGGCGGGGGTTTTTGTAGGTTTGGTTCTCTGCTACACCCCAGTGACAACGACAGTGCCTGCCCTGAGGTGCCCCAAACAGATTAGGGATGGGAAGGAACCCGTCCTCCCCATATCCTTTTAAATAAATTCAGATGGAAGGGAAAGGAGGGAAGAAAGGCGGGACGGAAGGTGCTGGAAGCTAGAGCAGATACAGACGCCAGCCTCTAGGGACAGGAGTTTTAACATGTGGGGGATGAAACGGACTTCTGCCTGAACCCGCGTCGGGGAAAACGGTCATGTGTGGCCACGCCGCGGGTGAGGAGAAACTTGCCGAAAATACCGCAGCCCTTCAGCGATACGCATTAAAAACAGGTGAATCCACGCCCTCCGGCCCAGACATTTCTTAGCCAGAATTATGTTCCAAGTGAATCACTGGAAAATTGTGTTGTACGTGTCTGTTCATGGGCTCATGTCAGCACCGTTTCTCTCGCTCGGACACCAGGGAGCGTTTGTGGGGCGCCCGCCTGACGCCGTGTGAGGTGGTCACTGCAAACGATGACAATGTTTAAAAAGAGAAGCAGGTCAAGAGTCACTGCAAGGATTGTGTCCACTTAACAGATGGGGCAAACAGGGCTCAGTGACGGAGGCAACCTGTTCAAGGTCATCCGGCGGGAGAGAAAGGGCCAGGACCAACGCCCGCGCTGAGCGTCAACCTAGTGAAGAGTTTATAGGGCGGGGAGTAAGATGGACTGCAGGGATTCTGTGTGTGTGTGTGTGTGTGTGTCTGTCTGTGTGTGTGTGCGAGAGAGAGAGAGAGAGAGAGAGAGAGAGACAGAGAGAGCACACACAAGTGAGCAAGAGGAGACTGAAGCGGGTTTCCAGAGTTCCTTCCAAACTGTTCCTTTTCACCTGAAAATACAAGGCAATCTGTGAGGTTTGCTCTTGAACTGAAGGCTCTTCCTTGATGGTTTTCACTTTCACCACTGACTGCTCTGTGCAACTTCAGGATTTGAAATACCAGCTGTTCAGAAATGAACTTAGAATGACCCAAAATTACCTTTTTATTGGAAGATGTAAATTCTGCTTTTTCAAATTCTGCAACTTGTTCCAATAATTCTCTTGAAGATCAAAACAAATATGAAAAAAAAAAAAAGTTCATTTAGACTAGATCTGGACCCACACCCAGGAGAATAAAATCCCGGGTCCCGATCTACTACAACACGGCAGGAGGACAGAGCACCATGAAGGAAACTTTACCGTATCCAAAATAGTTACTAGTGGCCGGGAATCCAAACCACATGGACCGAACTGGAATATTCCAGCGTCCTGCACCTAAAAGACCACTCGGTGAGAGATGCTTCGCTGCTGCTCCCCCCAGACTTTCTCACACGCTGGTCTTAAGAAGCGGCAAAGGCGTTTGCTAACTTTTGAGATCCTGCCTGGGCCCCTCCTACCCTAACTGCAGGTACAGATGTGGGTACCTGTTTTCAAGTTCAGAGATATCGGTCTGTAGCTTGAGGTACCACTTCTCAGCCTGGGAGAAGAGCTGCCGCAGGAGCAGGACGTTGGTGTGGGCTGTGTTGATGAGCTCAGACTCCACCTCGCTGTAGACCACAGCCTGCAGCCCGCTCAGGACCTCGGAGACCTCGTCTACAGTGAAGGTCTCCTCCACCAGCCTGAAAAACAGCCACAGTCCCAGGCTTCAGGAGTAACAACCCAGACCGTTTACGAAATATAACAAAATTAAGAAACCCACATTCACGTCACTGGAAGGGTTCAAGGGTTATAGTGGAAGCCTCTCTGGGAGCGATCTTCTTTCTTAATAAGACACACTAAAAATAACTCAAGCTCAGTCAGTTTTCTTCTAAGCTCAGGTAATCTTTGAGTCTACTTAAATGACCACGCAGTGGATGAGCACGTCCTCTACTACGAGGTCCATGCTCGCAAACAGTCCCCCAAACATTTACGTTTTTCTTTAGTTTTTCAGTTTAAAATTTTTTCTACTTTAATCTCTGCTAAAATTAGTTTTAGCCCATTTAGTGGTTTCAAAAGTCACCCAGAAGGTGTAGTTTCTCTTTTCTTTCTATTATTTGTTTAGCATTTCAATAATTGCATGAACTACCCACATGAGAGTAAATGACTGGAAGAAAATCAGAGGTCAATTACATGTTGCTTCTCTTAGCATTTAGGCCCCAATGAAAAAGAAACCGACTTCTCTTAGTTAAAGCTCCTCTGAGAATGACAATTACCGTATAATTTCACTCATATGGGGAATTTAAGAAACAAAACAGAGGATCGCAGTGGAAGAGAGGAAAAAATAAAACAAGATGGAATCAGAGAGGGAGACAAACCATAATGGACTCTTAACCACAGGAAACAAACTGAGGGTAGCTGGAGGGGTGATGGGTGAGGGAGGGGTAACTGGGTGATGGGGATTAAGGAGGGCTCATGATTCATGATGTAATGACCACTGGGGGTTATGTGCAACTGATGAATCACTGACCTCTACCTATGAAACTGAATATGAATACCTCTGAATACAATATGTTAATTAATTGAATTAAAAAAAAAAAAAAAGCTCCTCTGAGCACTGACCACACATCACATCACCAGTAGCATTAAACCTACTCTTGCACAGACAGTGTTTGGGTTTGGAGGGGGTTCAGAGTCCAGAGTGCTAACCATTACACTATGGAACGTGGGAGGGAAGTTCAGAGCCATGTTCTTCAATCCCCTCACTTTACAGATGGGAACGCAGGCTCGGAGGTGGTATGCCGCTGGTCCTTCGGGGAGTGGGGTGACTCAGCCCCACATGCATTTCCAGCAATCTCAGTTAACATGCCTGACAGCTGAATCCTGAGAAAGTGTCTGCACATGGCTCCTACTTCCAAGGGAAGTCCAGCAGTAAGAGGGCCTCTCCCCTCCCCGCCCACCCCCACCAAGTCCCACCCTACCCTGCCCTGCCCCCGCTTCTGACCCACTCCCAGCCGCTCAGGGAATAAGGAGCAAGGCCCCAGCCCCAGTTTTTCTTCCTCACTTCCAGAAGGACATAATGAAGACAGGGGCCACAAAATCTTATCAGAGTTATACTATACCCAAGTGAACAGTATTTGATTTACCATTCTTCAGCGTTTCATTTAGCCTGATTTTAACCAGTCTAAAAAAACCCAAAACTTTATTTTTGATGAAAGTCCTTATTCAATATATTAACAATCTTCCTGTATTCTTTAATGGAACATACCAAATCTCCTTCAACATTTTTTTTTTTTTTGGCAACCCAAGTTCATGACTATGAACAATTAAGGTACTCGATGTATAAAGTGAGTACTGAAGTACTTCTTCTGACTCATAGCTGGGCCAGTAAGCCTGCAGCTTTCATCAGCTGGGGGTTAGGAAACCAGCCGACCAGATTATATTCGGTAATGGCCTAGAGCTGACACTGTCTGTTACCGAGTGCGGAGCACGGCTTTGTGACACTCAGCACTCACGTGGAGGCCTTGTGCATTTCCACCTCATCAGACATTTAACTGTGCCAAAGTCTGACCCCCAAGTAGTCGTATGTATCTTTATTACTTAGTCCTTTTCTTTTGTTGATTCCCCTGTTTTTCTCTAGATAAAACATGCATTTTCTACGGACTTCATTATATTCCATGACGGGTTCAACACAACTAGTTATCATCTATTAACAATTTCTGTTAGTTAATGGTTTTTCAGGGTTTTCTGCTGTTTTACCCCCTTCTAATTCTTCAATATGAACTACGTAGGGGTTTTCTTGCAAACTGTCATGGCTTATGGCTCTAATCCTTTCATTAATAACTCCGGTAATTAAAGTTCTGGGATCTTTAATACAGCAAAGTGATCACTAACCTACATGCATTTCACTACTTCCTAAGGGCTCTTCTGAAACTTTGCAATCTCATAATTATCACGGGTGTATGTCTAGTAATAAATTCCTCTCACCACAACCCACTTTCTTGAATTTCCCACATCCACAAGGCGTGGTGTAGCTACTCTCAGTGAGTAACTGACCACGGTAATCCCAGCCATGGTCTGTATGGTCTCTGCTACAGCATCCCCACTATGGCTCCCAGAAAGGATCCATGTTTCCCTCTGGGTTTCCTTAAAGTCCTCTGATACCTGCTCTCCTTGAGGTCTTGGAAGCAGGAATCTACAGTTTTGAGTCTCAGACCTCTTTTTGAACGAGCAAAACGCATGTAATTGATAACTTCATTTTGATGGTGCTCGTTTAGGCCCAACTCTGCCTAAAAGAGAGAGAAGTAATTGTTAGTCTTGAAGATGTGATGAAGGAACCAACAATGAAAATATACAAGATATCCAGGTGTAGTGATTGCTAGATGTCCACCAAATTTTGTTCTTCCCTTCTTCCTGGGTAAATGACTGCCCAACTAGATGATGCTTCCTAGCTCTTCCTGCAGCCAGGTCTGGCCACGTGACTACTGCTCAGTAATGGATGTGAGCAGAAGAGACGTGGGCCATCTTCAAAGCCTGAGCCTTCTGTTGTGGTATGTCTTTGTCACACCTATTTCTCTGGAGGGGTCGGGCAGATAGCAGGATGAAAGAGACTGGCATTCCTGATTTTGTGGAGCGGCACTGACCTACAGACCTCAGATGACTAGTGAGATGGCTGTTAAGTGAGCAAAATACACTTCTGCATTCTTTACGCCACTGTTTTTGTTTTTGGTGGGTTTTTTTTTTTTAATATCTACTACACCAACTTAACCTTACCCTAGCTAATAGAGCTTTTAAAAATGTATTTGGTTTTGAAACAGACAGTAATTGGGTCTTTAAACCAACAGAGAGTCTGACAACTATGAGCTAGAAATCAATGAAGTTTTCATTTTATAGCTATGCTGAAAAGAAAAGGACATCATGCCATTGAACATCTAATGCAGGGACTAAATGAGTAAGGAGTGATCTTTTATTTTAGGAATAATGATCTATCATTTATCATAGCCTTCCTACGAGAGACTAAGATCTAACTTCCAAGCCTTTTTCAGGCTTGTCACTGTGGACACACAGGGTTGGGATGCCTCCAACACCAAGGCTAACAATCAGGCATGATCTCCTTCAACTCCCAAGTTGCTCACGGTGGCCCTTCTGCAGCCACACACCTCCTCTCTGCAGACTCGATTTCCTTAGGACATATGTCTCTAAAGGCCAGGACCCTGCCCACCCTGTTCCCCGAGGTAACCCCGTCCCCAGTACTAAGCACAGTGCCTCCAAGCAATAGATATGTGCCAACAGATGCACTTAAAAGCGTTCTTCCTTTTGAAGGTCACTTCTTCATCATGCCTTAATTGGTTCTCTTTCAGACTCCGGGAGGACTTGATTAACCAATTATTTTCCCCTCTCAACATTCTACAGGTTTCTTCTTCCTTAGGACTATGGGGAAGGCTATATATATACAAACTTTATTCATGCTTAAAAAAACCCAAAAAACCTCAAACCTGAGAATCCCTATAGCTACCCTTGCATTTCTCCATGTCCTTTCTACTGTGGCAATCCCCATGCTATCCCCTAGTCCTTAAACCCATATGCTGCTCAAATTGCTTTTGTAAAGCTCACTAGCAACTTCTTTTATTTTTATGATCGCCTGGGAGATTTTACTTATTTTTTAACTTGAGTACAGCTGACCCACAATGTTAAATTCATTTCATTGCTGATGTGTTTCAGTGGCCCATTTCAATGGTGCCCCAACTCTGGTTTCAGCCCTTTTTCTGAACACTGTGCACTGCTCTAAGTAAGGCTGCTATTCAAGCTGACATCCTATATCCGCTGGAACGATGAATGTACATATTTTAACACACGGGACAACTAGCCTCTTCTGAACAGGTCAAAACAGAAGAAGAAATCATTCAAGTGTCCTGGGCTGTCAAGTGGACGGTGTGACTCTTAATGTCGCTCTCACACCCGAAAGCCAGATTCCATCACGTTCTCCCTCCTCAACTCGTTATCATACATAACTGTTCATGCCGCCCAATGGTGTGCCTGCGTGTGTCTTAAAAACTTGGGGAGTTTTAGGAACAGAGAAGCCTGCCCTGCGCCTTCCGCAGGAGGCCGTTCCCTCCAGCTCCCTCAAGGTGTGACCTGGGCCACTGGTCCCAGGCGGGAGCGAGGAAGGACACGGCGCCACGCGACGGACAGAGGCTGCTCCTAGGCAGGAGGGGCTGCGGCCGAGGTTAACTGAAGTCTGGGGACCAGCCGGGAGGCCCAGGAGCGGGCTCACGCAGCCACGCCCTCCCTCGGCCCCGCTCCGCATCTCCTCCGCGCGCGGTGGCTCCCGGCCGGCTACTCACCATGGCGGCGGCGAGAGTCGCAGCCTAGAGGAGCCCGAGAGGCCAGGCGGAGCCCCGCCAAGCCCCGGGTCGCCGCGGGTGGTTGGGCCGCAGAAGATGCGGAGGGAGGGCAACTTGTTTAGAAGCCTCCGGTTGCTAATGGGAACGGAGGCACGTGGCCCTAAGTGCTGCACTTTTATTGGCCCTCACGATCACGCGACAGGAAGTACAGTGTAACCGGCCAGCTGCCGCATGCGCACTGGTTTCCAGAGCCGGAAGTCCCACCTATCTGCGCCACGCCGACTTTGGGACCGGGCCGCCGTTGCCTGTGGTAACCGGAGGGGAGAGGCCGTCTGGACCCTCACGTTCAGGGGCGCTCTGGAGCGTCGGAGTTTGGGTTGCTGGGAAGGGCTGTCCCTCCCTTCCCGGGCTTGGTGATGACGCCGGTTGGGGCTTGAAGGGCTGACTCCCCGACTTTGTAGTGGTCTCAGGGGGCTTGGGCGTGGGTGGCCGGACTGATTCCTCTCCAAGGCCGGCAGCTCCCGCTCTGCCTGGTGCCACGATAGACTTTTGAATAGCGGTCTCCCCGCCCAGCTCATTTACTCCCCTTCTCTTACAGTCTTGCTTTATCCTTAAAAATTAAACGCGATGGGTCCCTGGATGGCTCAGTTATTAAGCATCTGCCTTTGGCTCAGGTCATGATCCCAGGACTCAGCCCCAAATTGGGCTCCCTGCTCAGTGGGAAGCCTGCTTTTCCCTCTCCCACTACCCCTGCTTGTGTTCCCTCTCTCGCTGTGTCTCTCTCTGTCGAATAAATAGGTAAATAAATCTTAAAAACAAAATTAAATGTGAGTTGGTGAAAGAGCAGTGAATTTCAAATTATGCCTAGAATCATCAGGGAAGCTTGTTGAATAAATGCTTCCTGGACCTCACCCCTCCAGAAATTCTGAATCAGGAAGTCTAGCTTGGGTGTTTGGAATCTGCAGTTTTTATCACACACCAGGAGGGATAGGGAGCACTCTTTAAGAAACACTGTCCTAAGTCCTCAGGGAAATGCAAATCAAACCACAATGAGATAACACCTTACACCTGTCAGAATGGCTAGACTCAGAAGTAAGTGTTGGGGAAGATGTGGAGAAAGAGAACCCTCGGGCACTCTGGGTGAGAACATAAATCGGTACAGCCACAGGAAGAAACAGTATGGAAGTTACTCAAAAGTTGAAAACAGAACTATGTGAGCCAGTAATTCCACTACTGGGTATTTACCCAAAGAAAACAAAAGCCCTGAGAAAGACATGCACTCCTATGTCTACTGTAGCATTGTACGACAGTCAAGATACAGAAGCAACCCAAGTGTCCACCAAAGATGAATGGATAAAGAAGATGTGTACTGGGCGCCTGGGTGGCTCAGTGGGTTAAAGCTTCTGCCTTTGGCTCAGATCATGATCCCAGGGTCCTGGGATCAAGCCCTGCATTGGGCTCTCTGCTCGGCAGGGAGCCTGATTCCTCCTTTCTCTCTCTCTCTCTCTCTCTGACTGCCTCTCTGCCTACTTGTGATTTCTCTCTGTCAAATAAATAAAATCTTTAAAAAAAAAAAGATGTGTACACACACACACACACAGTGGAATATTATGCAACCATAAAATGATAAGATTTTGCTACTTGGGACAACATGGATAGAATTGGAGGGTATTAAGTATGCTGAGTGAAATAAGCCACAAAAGAAAGACAAATATTGCATGTTATTACTCATATGTGGAATTAGGGGGAAAAAATTCTAACTCATAGAAACAGAATAGAAAGGCGATTGCCAGGGGCTTAGAGTGGGGGAAATAAGATGCTGGCAAAAAGGTACAATCTTTCATTTATAAAATGAGTAAGTTCTGAGAATCTCATGCATAATGTGGTTGTTGATGATAACACTGTATTGGATAATTAAAATTCCTTGGGAGTAGAGTTTAAGTGTTCTCATAAATTTAAAAAAAGTAAATATGTGAGGTGATGAGGAAACGGTCAACTTAATGAACTCGAAGAGGGGAATCGTTTTACAATGTATTTCTTAGAATTTTCTTTGTCAATTTTATATAAAAAGAAAAGCATGAGGGAAGGGAGGGAGGAAGGAAGGAGATTGTCCTAGAAGAGGCAAATGTGCAGGGTGAAACAGATTATTGCATGTGCCAGGGGCTTGGGGCTGGGTGGGTGAAAGCCATTGAGTGGGCGTTTCAGCAGGCTCAGAAGCATGAGCCAGACACACTGAGGAGGGAATGAATAAGCTAAAAAATGAGCTTGGCATGACAGGAAATAATAAAGGAAGGAGCAAATAGGAAATGGGAAATAAATAGGAAGGAGCACAGAATGGGGAACTTCCTGAGAATTTGGGAGACTTAAAACTCAGGAGAAGCTATCTGGCATGAGCTAGTCCTGACTCAGGAATAGATAAGCCAACTTAGATCACACTTTTGGCTTTGTGTTGATTTTGGCCACTACATAGTGCTACTTAAAGAGGGTCACAACTGGGACCTAAAAGTCTAGAAAGGACTTCACAGTCCCAGGTCTGCCTGATTCTTAATGGATGGGGAGATTGAGAGCCACGGCCACGTGTCCAGGTCCTTGGAGGCTAGGCAGAGGCATCTGAAGTTGGAGTGCGTGATGAAACTAAGTTTTCAGGAGAAAAACCAGAAAGTAGGTGTGAAGTCTTCTGGTATGGGGGACATTAAATCATACTCTGGTTTCGAGAATTTCATTTTTCTTTTTGTTTCTTGCCACCTTCCTTTACGCACCAGGCTTAGAAGTTGTCGCAAGACGCAAGTTCGGTGCTTTAAAAAATAAACTTGAAACTTCCATTGCTAGAACAAAGTGGGAGTAGATATATCCTATGGAATGTACGAAGGGATGACGTCTTTAGAAAAAGATGTGCGACAACGAACACAGGTTTATTGAATTAAATGGCCAATATGGTACAATGGAAATAACCAAAATGGGTAAGTTTCAATTCAGACAAACTAAGAGCTAGGAGGAAACAGTATTTTCGGATGCAGAAAGACAGCTCAGAAAAGTAAAGGGTCTTGCCCAGTAGAAGAGAGAGTGGAGTCAGGTCTAGAATCCAAATCTCATGATCACCTGTGAGAGTTTCTCAACCATTTAATCCTACCCAAATATAGGTGCCCTGGCTTTCTCTTTCAGTTTTAGCGCCACTCCTGTGAACGTGGGGCACCTTAACTCCTGTTTGGGGGAGCTTATGGGTGTCCCGTGGCTGTTGAAAAGCAGGGGACAAAGGTGTAGATTTCCCATTTGTGTGAGGATTGGCAAAGTCTTGGGGCACAGTCAGGAATCCTTCACTTAAATGATTAAGGGTTGCTATACATGCAGTTACCCATGGAAGGACCTTGAGCCTGAGGGACAAGAAGAACAGAGGGCAGGGTGTCCCTGCGTGTAACCTGGAGCACCCTCAGGCATGGAAGGATGTTCTAGAGGCACTGGGTTGGCCACCCCACTTCACCATTGCCTTCCAGGGGCATCCGGGCAGAACTCTTGTCTCTCTGCAAGGTCCATACATCAACGTCTCAATACCCACCCCCTGCAACATGACCCACTCCAAGCTCAGTTAAATGTCTGCTTGATCACACCATCTCTCACATTTCTGTTGGGAGTGTTTGTTGAATTTGATAATGGTCGCCATTGCTTAGTGCCCATGATGGGCTAGCCATACTCCAGGGCAATAGTTCAGCTTTACAATCTCTGGCTCTTTCTTACTACAGTGGACATTCATGAGTTCACATAGAGGGAAGGTCACTTTACTGGGTACAGTGGATGCAAGATAAAAAATGAGTTTCATAACCACTCTTATGACACTTAGGTGAAGTTATCAGTTTGTGTATCGAAGGAAACTTAAGTGTATTTTCCCGTGGGCAAACTCCTGTCTGTGCTTACTAAGTGTTATTAATGCCGGGAGACGAAGAGTGGGTAGATCATGCAAATATGTCATTCGTGAGTATGTTTGGGGCTTGGGGATTTTTCGAGTTGCTCTGCAAACCTGCAGACGGATAGTTGTTTTAATTTAAAATTCCTTTTGAATCTAAAATTTTCTGAACCAAGGGGGTTATAATAATCACGATAAGCGCATCTACCCAGCTGGGTTGATTGTTGTTACATAAGCTGTCTAAATAGTGTCAGCAAATATGAACACGGATTTTTGGCCTTCAGCTGATGAATTTGGCTCATGAAGAGGCTGAACTTGTGCTTTGAGTTATTTCCTAGCTTGGCTTGATTAGCAAGGCAAACAGTACGAGCTGCAGGGGAGAACAGCTCTGCCTCACCTTAATAGCAAGTTTCTTAGTCTCACACTTTAAAAAAAAATTGCTGTGACCCTTTAAAAATTGTGTGTGTGTGTGTGTGTGTGTGTGTGTAAATCTGGAAGGAGAGATGAGAGGCATGCAAAGGAGGTCATTATATATTTTTTAGCCTAGCTGAAGATAAATAAAGCAAAGACCAACTCTGTCTCCTCAGATGATTAGGAAGGGAGACACTTGTGGGTTCATAGGTTACCAGTCCTAACATGGGCACCACCAACTCCAGGGCGTTTGCAACCCACACTGGGCGAAAGGAGGAAAGGGAAGGTCATTGTGCTCTTTTAGCGGTGTTGAGAGATTTACCTGATTCGCCACTATTTACAGAGCCCACCCCCACCCCTGCCATGTGCATTAGTTTTTGTGACTGTGATAGAATCTGACAAGAGATAAGGGGGATTCAGGAGGCCCCAACTTTCCCTACTCTATAGAGCTTTGGTTAAGGTCAGGATGGGGTGGGGGGGGTGTTGCCAAATAATGGAGGAAGGGATTTGGTAAAACATGGTACAGGTGGTATATAGAAAAGGCAAAAAATCTTTTTTTAAAAAAGATTTTATTTATTTATTGGACAGACAGAGATCACAAGTAGGCAGAGAGGCAGGCAGAGAGAGAGGAGGAAGAAGGCTTCCTGCTGAGCAGAGAGCCCGATGAGGGGCTCCATCCCAGGACCCTGGGATCATGACCTAAGCCGAAGGCAGAGGCTTTAACCCACCGAGCCACCCAGGCGCCCCAAGAAAAGGCAAAAATCTTGAAGGCAAAGTGGGGAAGGGGAATGTTGGAGAAATACTGAGCCAGTGGGGGAATGGTTTGGGGGAAAATC